ATTATTAGGTGTAAAGCTTACTCGAGGGTCCAGATTGAAGAAATGATGGGAATGAAGGAGCGAAGAGGAAGAAGATAAGAAAGAGGAGAGAAGATCCCAATGGGATACTGAGCAGATAGGGTAAATCAGAAAATACTGTATATAAAAAAAAACACAGAAACTGCAATATTTTAGTTGTTTTTATATAAAAATATGTCCTCGTTTAACTCGTAATATTTGCTTTATTTTTTTCAAAAAAAATACTGTTAATATGCAAGTATGTGTAGTTCTGTTTGGTATCTTTTTTTATCTGCTTGTATTTTGTATTTTTTTCAAAAAAAAAAATTCGTTTTTTCTTGCTTATGTTAAAGACTTGTAAAGTTACTGCAATTTAATCTAATTTAATTTAATTTTAAGTTTAATTGATGTACTATTTGATCGTATATCATTAATTTGTTTTTATATCTAAGTATTAGTGTATAACATTTATCGTATATTATTTTTATTTGAATTTTAATTAATTTTTTTAACGGTTTATCTATCGAATCGACAGTGCTGCCACTTTTCGTACGTTTTTTCATAAATGTTTCAAATGTTTTTCATTTCTTTAGAAACGAATAAGTTATTAAATGTTTTTATTAAGGTATATCAAACACGATTAATTATTTCGTACTTTTATCCGTTGTATTATATCATATTATATAGTATGGGTCAACTTTACTTACGTGGACTGTCATGGCCGCACTTTAGTAATGTCGACAGCAATCATCCTTCGAATTTCAATGTAAGCGGAGTTGTTAGTAAATTTGAAGGTTAGATTAACTATATTTTTAGTAGACGTTTGCTTTTTTTTAGTTTGTTCAAGAGCTACCGTGAATCAATAACTAGTGACGTTAAACACTCGGCGGCCTGCCTGCGGCTCTCCTCCAGGAGGTCCATTGGGAGCATAACAGTCGGAAGCGAGGTTATTTTTGCACTTAAGTGTTAAGTACTTATACTCGAAATGCATCTTTAACTAAGTTTGAAAGTGATTATTAAAGACTAACTTTTTTGTAAAAATCTGGGTTTTTTTTCTGTCCATCTTGGTGCGATAAGCCCTCCAAATTGTTAAATCCTATTTATTACGCTATCTAACTTTATCTAATTTAATATAAAAGTTATTTTTTAAATTTCTTTTTCTTTTGCGTCTGGTCAANGGATTAATTTAAACAAGTGAAGAAAAAATAACTTTATCTTGTTAGTACGTAACTTTCTTTGAGTTAAAGCAGGTTTTTTTTAATAAGATTTTAAAATAATTGTAAAAGAAAATTGTTACAAGGAGATACAGTTGTCTGTTTAAGAGGTGTAAGAGCGATTTGAAAGATCCTTTGCAGTATAAAAGTCCTTATAGTTAGTAAAATCCTTTTCGTGAATACTTCAGCTTTTGAATTGCATTAAAAAAACATAAAAAAATCTAATAATTTTCACTCCTTTAAAAGGACTACAGTAAAGGATTTTTATGGGTATTATAAATATAAAAAAGAAAGGTATTTCGCTGGTTTTGAGAAACTACAAAGTATCCATTGACAGGCTTTAAACCACTAGAAAAATATTTTTTCTTGGGGTTAGAAGAGTTATATAGAAGTCATTTCTGTGAATTCTAAAAGGAGCAATAGAACATACTGTTATCAAGAATTTTTCATGAGTGTCGGAGGCAACATAAAAGGCTCTTTTGTTGATTTTCAAAGAAAGAGATCTTTCTTCAGAAAATAAGTCTACTTCTTGGGTCTTATGCTATAGAAATGTGTTTTTATGGGTATAAGAACAGCATAAAAATCATTTCTGTGGAATTTAAACGGATCTAAAGAATAATCTATTTCATGGGATCTTGGGAACTATAGACTCTATAGATATTATTTTATAAGTGTAAGAGTATAAATGACTTTTTAAGGATCATTAATTAGTTATTTTGTAAATATCTGTTCACATTCTATGAAAATATTCCAAAATTAAGTATTTTAAACTAGTAATATTTTATTTATAGCTAGTTATATATTGTGATCTCGTGTATATCGAAACTACATGAGTGGTGGCTCTTGTATAAACGTCAAAATATATTTGTAAATGCTTAAAAACTTCAAAAGAATGAAGAAATTTTCAGTAAAAATGATTTTGTAGTTCGTTAATATGCATACTCTTCGGGGCAAATATGCAATTGCCGCATTAAAATACCAGTCAAAAGCAAAATGCATTCAGTCGTCACTCCTAGTTATATTCTATGGGAGATGACACAAAGGAAGTCAATTTTTCGACATCGAACCGTACTCTACGGTTCTTAAACCCCGAGGTGTTGCAGCTTACGTTCAATGATACCTTTAGACGTTTCCATGGCAACAAAGAGAAGTAAGAGGGGGGACAAATCCACATCCGGTGCTCGAAACACGATTCTTCTATTGTCATCTGAGACGATAGCTACATATCGTCAATTGTCTATTCTATCGTGAAAGATTATGTTTCGATTCATTAACATATATTTAGAAAAAAAATCCAGCCAAGAAAATCAAAATACAACTAAAAATACATTCTTCAAATGTGTAAAGTTTGGGATGAGTCAAGGCAAGCTCCGTCCAAGATGAAGAGAATTAAATAAACTCATTAACTAGTCTAATTAACTAAAATTATATGATCCACTTAACTAAATCATCATTAAGAATCAAGTTTCTGTTACGTGCAGCTTTTATGGAGATAATAAATAAGATATAGGAGCCAACTGGAGCATCTCGGAGAGAGGAATATAAAGTCAACTCACCCGCATGAGGAGAACTTAGATTATTGAATAAGCTTATCAAATGAACTTTGAAAATCGCAGTGACTGATAAAGACTTCAAGAATGGATTCTGGATTATTAATGGCTCAGGTTGACTCCTGTCACGTGGCACACGATACAGATCTAACAGAGCGTGTGATTCGAGAGTTTCGACTTCAAGAATTTCGATCTATGACGCAATATTCACAAATTATAACATTTGATGCGTGACAATATTTAACATGATTATTATACATTTTTTTTTCTTTCTTTCGGAAACAATTTTAACTAAAGAAAAATTCTATTTATCATTACTTTTCTAACCACTAAAGTATGCGGAACAAATGCAGCTGTTGTATAAATGATCCTTCAACCTCACGATTCCGGTCAGGACCTCCAACATCGACTTCTCCATATACACAGTTCTGACTTGGCTTTCCTCTACAAAGATTTATAGCTATAAAAAAAAAAATACTTCCTTGACCTATTTCTAATAATAATAATAAACCTCTCTCGAATTTGTCGCGATACATGTTTAATCGACTGATAACGGCGATATAAATCTACTTACCTATAATTGTCTCGAGTGTGACCATGATAACAGCCAGAACAGCCATGTAACTTTGAAGCTAGTTGTCGTTTTTAATACTATTGGACGTCTCAATCCGGTCACGTGACACGACACGTTACTATTTTCCACCCCTAGCTTTGTGGAAAATCTAATGTTTATCCACAGAGATAAGTTTATAGACCCGCTTCATGCGGGTATACACGTGCAGTTTGTGTTGTAGAAAAACAGTAACACCTCAACAATACTTTTACGTAAGACAAATAGTGTATTATTTAACGTTTCTAGTGTTTAATTGTGGAATTTAATAAGTTCCAGACACTAAAATAACAAGCGATAGCAAAACAGCGACCCGGTATAAGGGAAAGCATTGTAGACATTTAACCTTGAACTTAACACATCTTTAAGTTTCCCCATAGTCTGGGTTGAGTCATCGTATGGAATGCTGGGATACGTCATAGTGGCGTCTTTGTTCTGCTACAGGGCGTTCACCCTCTACTCTATAGGGGTTACTATGTCGCCCTTTGACCCGCTACCGGGGCTATCTACGAAATTATTCACTACTAAACACGGCTCTTAATTAATTCGCCCTCCCACTAGCGCATAAATTAACATAATTAGCTCATAGGGAGAGCGAAGAGAGAGCGCTTGTAACCGCTCACGATACAAGGGATTTGGGAGCATAATTGAAAAAAAAACAGAATCGATACTTTCTATAAATATCACGTTCTAGAAAAAAGTAAAGCCATCAAACTGTATACTTATCCCGATTCGTGTTTCGAGTCACGAAGTCACCGGTTTTAGAAGAGTAACGTGACTCAACCATCCCGAATCAAGCTTAGTAGTGGATCATTCTTAGAAAAAAAAACGCAGCAAAAGTTTGATACTTACAAAAAGTACGAATTACAATAGATCTTAATCGTTGCTAAATCTAAAAAATTACGGGCTTAAAATTATATTCACCTGAACGTATTATACAACACATGACATCTGGTTTAGTTTAATAGCGAAATAGTCACGTGTGTGATACAGGTGCGCTACGTAAGCTACATAAAATAAGTGGTCACCTGATCGTAATTAGTGAACCACAATTATCTCACGTTAGCAACAATGTATTAGATACTTTTCTTCATACTAAAACTACCTGAGAACATACAATAGTACCTTTCAAGGTTAAACGTCTCAAGGTTAATCGATACTCCGTCTACTACGTGTATTCGGTATACAGAAAACACTACTCACCAAGTATTTGTAACACGTAAACACAACAGCTAAAATGGCGTGACGTAACAACGAAATATTCCAAACGCCAAAAACACTACTACGAATCTTCTGCGTTGCTCTTGTGCCGAACAAACTAGGACAAAACTCGTGTAGTGTTTGTCACAACTCAACGCCAATGCCTGGAGCGTGTTCAATTATTGTTGTTGCCTCTACGCTTGCCACGTAATGCCGCTCTGGAGATTAAAAAAAACAAAAAAAGAAAAAAATTAACTGACCTAATTATGTTTAAAGATGGTTGTCGACACAAAATTGACCAAGGATAAACCACAACAAAGCAGTTCAAATTTCCAGTCTTAAGTAATATGTCTACGTCGATATGGGGTATGTTTTTAATAGATTTAATTGTTTAATAATATAAAATCTCCAGCTTAGAATTGTAAAATTTAATTACAATATTCTATGTTGGATAAAAAATAATTTATTCCCTTGCATTACAACTTATCAGTATCACTTTCAGTTAATTCGTATCATATAACAATTCTGACTCATTATTTATTAACTTCTGACTTTCTAAACAGTCGGGTGATTAGAAAACTAGTAAAAATTTTTGCTGATGTTAACGACTAAACAGCAAAAAGATACAGAAAGTTAATAACATGATAATCTATATAAAAAGGATGGCATCATCCGGATCAACATCACCTGTTGTCATGGTAATGAAGACGGTGCCATATAAAAATTCACGTTCATGATGGGAATAGCAAAAATGTTACTTAAAGAAAAAGGCGAAGATAAAATTTATTTTGGAAACATGTCAGATTTTCTAATTCTCCTGACACGGTAAGAATTTTAATATTCTTTTCTCATTAAATTCCTTTTATGAGAGGATTAATAACGGATTTAAATACTCTAATGTGTCAGCCATTAAGAAACACTTAAAATAGATTATATATTCATAAATGTGTTTAAAGTAATATTCCACTACCTCATTAAATACAAATTAAAAATACACCTCAAAAATTTATATTATTTATTAAAACGGTGTATTTAGATACGTTACGATATATACTTATAAACCACGAATAATTTCGATTACTCTTTATATAAATAAAATATAAAATTTTATAAAATATTGTATGAATATATAATAAATATTAATACCAAGCATATATGCCGAATAGACTAAATAATAAGCTTAGAAAATATAAGAAACTGATACGAACATTCATCGTCATTTGCGATAAACACTAGACATCATCTATAAGAGATTTCAACAAAATGGATGTCTGAGGAAACAGACAATTAAACGTGTCTCGCCTATTTTTATTTATCCAATTGACTGTACTTAAAATCTTTAATTATATTTATTTCATATCATAAAAAGACTATTTACCTTCATGAGAATTTTTACATATAATTAGACTTTTATTACATGTCTACTATTACTTCTTAAGTAACGTTATAGAAGTTTATTATAATGTATTATTAACAAGATACGAAGAATATTCAAAAATAATGGTTTCTTATGCTTTCGTCTCGCCAAAAGACAAGTAAGAAAATGTAAAACATTTATTTAAATTTCACACTTCCTGTCGAAACGTGTAAAGTTTGAATAAATACACTGTAATGGTTTCTTACGCTTGAGATGAAAGCGTAATAAAAAAAACCATTATTTTTTTACATATTCCTATCTTTTTAATTGTAAAAAATTCGTTTATTTCGAAGNATTTCACACTTCCTGTCGAAACGTGTAAAGTTTGAATAAATACACTGTAATGGTTTCTTACGCTTGAGATGAAAGCGTAATAAAAAAACCCAATTATTTTTTTACATATTCCTATCTTTTTAATTGTAAAAAATTCGTTTATTTCGAAGAATTTATTATATATAATGAATATAGAATTTTTTATATTTTCAAATTTTATATAGATTTATATTTAATTTATATATATTCTAAATATTATACGCTATAAAAAGAAATCGTTATTTTGTTTAAGATTTAAGCCAAAGGATTGTAAAGAGTAAATGAGAAATACAATATTTAAACAAGTAAAAGTCCTTTAAAAATACATTAGATAACACCGAGTAAGTGTAAACCCTCAATTCTATAGAAAGAGCCATAAACGGTACATCTAATAAACTTTATATAAAATACAAGGTAAAACAATTTCATTCTAAGTTAATGAAAATTTCGAATGAGGATTTTTTTTTCTAAAAAAAAAAGTATATTATTGTTGGTTAAATTGGTAACAAACGAGATGTATGTTTCTCATTAAACAAAATTCCCTTGGAAACGGCTTCATTAACTCAGTTTATAGACCTTGTGTTTGCAATAATTAAAACAGCAACTTTCCATCTTCGAATAGATTAATTTTTCCAAGATAAAACATATTTAAAATATTTTTAAAAATTATTAAAATATACGTGCTAAACATATATAAACTTAACATCTAATTAGTACAATATTATATATATATAAAAGAAAAAAAAAAAACTGTAAAAGTAAAAGAAATCCTTACTGGATATTCGACAAAGTAAATCTTTCTCGCATTTCTCTGTATCAACATTTACACACCTTTTCAATTTTCTTGAGCGATACTACTATAATTGAACGTGTTTGTCTCCATACTAAATTTAGATATATGATGTATATATCGTTATAATTAATACAGTTATATGTGTATCTATCGCTGTATATATACATACCTTCTATAAGCGTAAATGGATAGTGGCAGTGTTAGCAAACATAGTCGCTAAGGGAAGGATGGATATTCCATATGGATTTGTAAAAGTTGTAGGAGTTTCTTGAGGGAGATTAATCACGTGTCTAACTGATTATAATCTTAATTGGTTAAACTAATTAGGAAAAGACAGACATTAATGAAATTATAGCTGTCACTATTACTAGAAGAATAAATGGTCGAGTTTTAAGACTAGGATGAATGAAAATTGCAAATGGTTATGTTGTAAATTCTAAGAATAAATAAATGAAGAAATAAAATTACAAAATACATCGAGAAAAATCTATTTTATATAACTATATTTAAAATATTATATATAAATAATAAAATAAATTTCTTTAAACGTGTTATAATAAATTACTTGAGATAAAAATTTCAAATATTTTAAAAATATGTAAAAATACGAAAGGAAAATTTCTTTGGGTAAATAAAATATATATTTTTTTAAAACATATTTGAGTACATACAAGGCTTTCTTGCAATATATAAATGCATTTTTTTTTTTACACATAGAATTTTAGGATATATAAAATATATTTTATCAGAAAGATATAGCAAAATTCCGAAATGTATAAACCTAAGGTAAACGTTAAAAATAGATGAAATTAACTTATTAAATTTATTATATAAGAAAATAAGATAAACCTCATCAAATATCATTTATTTTTATCAACGCATTAGGAATTATTTTAATAATATGTTGGATAACAGAATCAATAAATATGTTTCTCGTAAAATATGTAATAAACTTGTACAAAACTAGTTTCTTAGGATTTGCCAAACATGAATATATTGAAAAAAAGGCGAATATGTTCTTTTATATATTGTACAAAATAAATAAACCATAGATATATATATATACCTTATGATATAGATTTACAGTACTATAACTACACAAAACTGAAATCGATACAGTATATTAAGCCAAACGTATTGATTTATTCTCTGTAATTCCCCATAGTTTCATTTGTACAAACAAACATTTTTTAAAAATAATTTTTCTAAAAGAAAAGTAATTAAATACGTTATGATATAACCTATTTATAAATACATTTTTTTTTAAAAATTTACTGCACATCTAACCTACAAAAATTTGATTAAATATTCAAGGGAAAATAAGTCATATTTACAGTAACAGATAACTAAAATATATATATATATATTTTTTTTTTGTAAATTTTTAAGTAATTTCAAGAGAAATAATATGTTTTCTTTTTCTCTTCGTATTATTTTTGAAAGTTTAACAAACGTAAATCAGTAATAAAGTATAAAAAATAATAATAATAAATATAATTTTCTTGTAAGTTTGTAGCAAACTTTATTGCCATATAAAAACCATTATTTTTGTTTAAATGCCAAGCTAAATTTATAAAGAAAATGTAGATAATAAAATTGCATATAAACATATAAGATATTCATGTATTTTCACAACAATAAATTATTTTTTAAATTGTTTAAAAAAAATATATTCAAGGGAAAAAAATTTATTCTTCCTTCCTCGGTGCATTAAGTGAAAATATCATTCTCTTATGTTACGTATGAATTAAAAATAAGCTAAAATTCGTAGTTAAAAGTCATCAAAGATATTTAAAATGATAATTATGATAAATAAGAGAGAAAAATCGTGTAGCATTATCGAAAATATTTTGAATATTTGCCAATATGACACATGTGTTGAGTGATATTTTGGCCATTATCCAAAGTAATCACGCATCACTCTTTAAAACATTCATTACAAATAAGATTTGTTTCTGCATAATAAATAATAATAATAATATAAAATTTATAAATACATCATTATCATATAAAATAATTAAATAATAGTTTTAGCATCATTAAAGATAATAAAATTATTTAAATTGAAAAAAACAAATGAGAGAAGAGGAGAGAGAGAGAGAGGAGAATGAAAAATGGAATGATGCTAAAATTTTTATCATGTTCCTCATATCTTTATTAATAATTTCCAAAAAGTTAGATCAAGTAATTAAATTTTAATAAATTTAATTATTATAAAGCTGAGTATATAAACAAATTTTAATATTTTATAAGTTTATATATAAATTATTTTTATTTTTTTAAAATTTTGACATTCTTCCTTGCTCTTTTGGATCAATACTTTTAAATCTCGTCTTACTTTCTTTATTTATAAAATGTTTATCCTTTCTAAGTTTAAAATTGTTTATAAAGAAAACAGTCCACTTTTTTCAGATTTTATATAAAGTTATCTTTATAAAGAAAGAAAGAAAAAAAAAAAAAAAAAAGGAAACTTAACTAATGGTTCCATCATTACA